GGGCCCAGTGATACTATCGCAAGGCCTGTGAGAAGGTTTGAGACCAGAAACAAAAAATGTTTCCGGTTCAAAGTACAGAAGAATGCTGCAGGCTTAAAATTTAAGCATGTTCAAAGGCGCGACCTGGAAGCGCGTCCTCCGCTGGGTTCGACAGGGGAGCGGCGCTTGTCGCAGCGGCTGTGGCTTCATCCTGGACGTAGTTTCCACGGCCAGGGGTGTCAGTGCCCAGGATCGGGGCCTCGAGACGTGATGGACGTGAGAACGGGCCCCTGGCGTCCGGACCTTGTGGTGCCTACGCGAGCAGGCGCCCGGCCGGGGCGGGTTCCGGCAGAGGCTGGTGCAAAAGAAACCCGGGCGCTGGTCATCGGAGTCCGCCCCGCACTGCACCCGGGCTTGTGGGGGGGTCACAGGTGCCCAGCGGAGGCCGTCGTTGGGTGGGGGGCGAATGGAGCAGCCGTCCATGGTGGGTTTGCATCTCCTCTGGTTCCGGTTGGGAAATGGGGCAACGCCTGCGGGAGCTGCACTCACGAAGCCCCAGGACTGAGCCCCGACGGGACATGGCCCGGCTCCCTGCAGGGCTCTGTTTTCACACCTGGCGGGGCGTCCGCACATTGGTTCTCTCCAGGACAAAGGTGTGTCTTGGGGCCGCTGCGAAGATACGTGGTGACCTCATGTTAAAAGAAAAGTAGGCCGGTGGGCGTGGTAGCTCCACGCCTGTAATCCTAGCACTCTGGGAGGCCGGAGTGGGCGGATTCACTCAGAAGCCAGGATTCGAAACAGCCTGAGCAAGCGAGCGAGACCCCGTCTCTACTAAAATAGAAAGAAATTACCCATACAACTAAAATATATAGGAAAAATGAGCCGGAGCATGGTGGCACATGCTTGTAGTCCAGCTACTCGGGAGGCTGAGGCAGGAGGATAGCTTGAGCCCAGGAGTTGGAGGTTGCTGTGAGCGAGGCTGACGCCACGGCACTCTAGCCGGACGACAGAGTGAGACTCTGTCAGAAAAAAAAAGAAAAAAGAAAAAACAAACAGTTTAGACAGATTTAACAGAGTTTGTTTGAGCAGAACAGCTCACGGAATCGGGCAGCCTGGCTTCTATCCTGACAGGAGAGCAGGCAGGGAGGTGGCCTGCAGTGGGTGTCTGGCCGCAGGCCTCGGGTCACACGGCCCAACGGGCAGGTTGGGATGTTTTGTGCCGTTTGTTTTGGAGGCCTGGGGTCTGTTGTTGTTCTTGCTTGCTGTTAAGTCGGGAACAAAAAATGCCCCTGAGGGCAGTACGAGCTCGGGCACAGAGATGACTGCAGGGCCCGCCTATGGCCTCTGTTTGCCTCCTTGAGCAGGAGACGGTGGGGACGGGAGTCTGGTTCGGAGAACTCGGCGCTGGGCATGTGGAGAGCCGCCGTGTGGCCCTCCGTGTCCCAAGAAGAGCCCCGTGCAGCCTCCCTGCTGGGTTCCACCAGCACACGGACACGGCGGTCCGGTGGTGTTTCTCTCCTTGAAGTGAGTGGGATCTCATCCTCTACTTTCTAGTTATTTGCGTCTGGGACAGAGAAATATTTCGAACTTTAAGTTGATCATTTTGTTTTGTTTGTTTTGTTTTTTGAGACACACACTCTGTTGCCAAGGCTAGAGTGAGTGCACTGGCGTCAGCCTCGCTCACAGCAACCTCAATCTCTGTGCTCAGGCTATCCTCTGCCTCAGCCTCCCAATTAGCTGGGACTACAGGCGTGAGCCACCATGCCGCCTAATTTTTTCCTTATATTTTAGCTGTACGGGTAATTTCTTTCTCATTTTTAGTAGAGATGGAGGTCTCACTCTTGCTCAGGCTGGTTTTCGACCTCCTGACCTCGAGCATCCGCCTGCCTTGGCCTCCAGAGTGCTGGGATGACAGGCGTGAGCCACCGCGCCTGGCCTTCCCAGTTTTTCTGTAGACTTAAAAACTGGTCTGGAAAATAAGCCGTGCTGATTTTTTTTTTTTTTTTAATTTCATTTTACAGGAGGAAGGAGCAAGAAGGGAGTGGGAAGAGAGCAGGCGCTGCCGGGTGTGAGAGGCAGAGAGCGCAATGGCCGGCTCAGGGCGGGCACTGCTGCTGCTTGCTGCTGCTGCTGCTGCTGCCAGGGCCCTCGGAGTCCAAATATATGGGTCTGGCTGCCGAGGTGCGCCTTCCTCCCCTGCCCTGGGGCGAGCCCGCGCCTCCCGGGGCAATCGGTCAGGGAGATCTTTTTTTTTTTGAGACAGAGTCTCGCTTTGTTGCCCAGGCTAGAGTGAGTGCCGTGGTGTCAGCCTCGCTCACAGCAACCTCAAACTCCTGAGCTCAAGCAATCCTCCTGCCTCAGCCTCCCGAGTGGCTGGGACTACAGGCATGCGCCACCATGCCGGCTCATTTTTTCTATATATTAGTTGGCCAATTAATTTCTTCTATTTATAGTAGAGACAGGGTCTCACTCTTGCTCAGGCTGGTTTCGAACTCCTGACCTCGACCTGCCCGGCTAATTTTTTCCTATATATTTTTAGCTGTATGGGTAATTTCTTTCTATTTTTAGTAGAGACGGGGTCTCGCTCTTGGTCAGGCTGGTTTCGAGCTCCTGACCTCCAGCAATCCGCCCGCCTTGGCCTCCCAGAGTGCTGGGATGACAGGGGTGAGCCACCGCACCCTGCCAGTCAAGGAGATCTTTATAAAACCAGACGAGATCGAAACCCCTGGCTGCAAACCCTCCCACAGGTCTCCATGGTCCACACCCACTCTCCTGACACTGCACGGCGGCGTTTGCCCTCCGTGTGGGTGCCGGCTTCCCGGCCTCAGCACAACCTGACCTTCTCGGCAGATGCAGCCTGCGCCCGAGGCCAGCAGTGACTTAAGCAGCTCCGCACTGTCACTGCGTCTCAGGACAATTCATTTGTGTCAACATGCAACGCGTTTGTCGCCGTTAGTTCAGAACTTTGCTCAGTTTTAGAGTCAAACGCAGTGAAGGTCGGTTGCTACCGCCCACCTCCTCAGCAGCCCCCAAAAGCCATTCCCACGCTGGGCGCGGTGGCTCACTCCTGTAATCCCAGCACTCTGGGAGGCCGAGGCGGGAGGATTGTTCAAGGTCAGGAGTTCGAGACCAGCCTGAGCAAGACCAATACCTCGTCTCTACCAAAAATAGAAAGAAATTAGCTGGACAGCTGAAAATATATAGAAAAAATTAGCCGGGCATAGTGGAGCATGCCTGTAGTCCCAGCTACTCAGGAGGCTGAGGCAGGAGGATCGCTTGAGCCCAGGAGTTTGAGGTTGCTGTGAGCGAGGCTGACGCCACGGCACTCACTCTAGCCCAGGCAACAGAGTGAGACTCTCTCAGAAACAAGAAACCCCTTCGCAGCCCTGAGACAAGGCTGTGGCCCGGCCGCTGTCAAAGGTCACACTCACGGGGCACCTCAGGGGCCAGCTAGGCCGGTGGCAGGCGTGGGCTGAACCTCCCTCCAGCCCCTGCTGGCTGTGTGATCCTGGGCTAGTTGTTCGCCCTCTCTGAGCCTGTTTCTTCTCCTGGGAAACGTAGGCAGGAGGCGCTTCCTCTGAAGTCATGGCCCCTGCCCTCCCTGTGTCTGATTCCTCCACCCTCTGTGCCTCGGTTTACTCTGTTCACTTGGCTCACAGCCGACATTCCTTTTCCCTTCCTCACCTCTGGCCACCCTGCCATTGCCTGGCCAGACTGACTGTGGGCAGGTTTGTTCCAGAAACTTCTCTGGACCGAGTTTGAAGGATGGGGACCTGGGGAGGCCGGAGGGAGAGGAGGCCGTAAGGGAAGGAGGCCCCCAGGGCCTGGGGAGTGCAGGGCCCGCCAGGGGCAGGTGCGGCTGTGGCTCTGTGGCCCATGCGGGCAGTGCTTGTGCAAGTGTTGGGTCAGCAACGGCCCCGCCCCCAGAGGTCCCCTCCCCAGGCCGCGCTGTCCCTGCTCCAGTGGGCTCCGGACGGCGGACGGCCAAGGAAAGTGGTGGGAGGGACACAGTCTCCTCTCCCCGCAGGTGGGCGAGCAGCCGTGCAAGGACCACACCCAGTGCCAGAGCGGCTGCTGCACCCGGACCAGCAGCAACCCGGGGCTGTTCTGCTGGCCCAAGACCATCTTCCTGCAGTGCGTGCCCTGGCGCAAGGTGAGCCCGCGCAGGCGGTGCACACGGACGCCGGTCCCCGAGTGCAGGCGGGAGGGGCGGGCGGGGCGGCCCCCTCTGCGCCCTGCCCTGCGTGGCGTGGCGGGAGGAGGGACGCAGGTGGCCTGGGGGGTGGTTCCCGCCCGTGTCTCCGCAGCCCCACGGCTACCTCTGCGACGGCCACAACGAATGCCAGAGCCGCTGCTGCATCCGACTGACCGAGATCAGCCCCTACCGCTGCATCCCCCGCACGGGCATCCTGGCCCAGTGCCTGCCTCTGGTGAGCCCCCAGGGCGGGCGGGTGGGCGTGCGCTGGGGGCGGGCCTGAACCCAAACCTGCAGCGGACCGGCAAGCGTCTCCTTGGGCCCATGCGCCCGGTGAGAGCGCGCACGGAACAGGCCTCGGGCAGAAAGGGCTCCTGGGTGCGCGTGGCGTGCACAGCTGTCAGTCAAAGAGGCGCGCAGGGACGCGCAGGGGAGGGCCGGGCGCCCCCGTGGGAGCTGGCGAGAGCGGGGCAGAGACCACAGTCTTTGGGCCGGGGAGGCTGCGCCATCGGCAGCCCTGGGGGCGGCGGGGGTCGCCCAGCCCCGTCCTGGCGGCTTCCGCGGCGAGAGCGCGAACGGCAGGGCCCGGGCGGGCGGGTGGAGCCCCAGCGAGCGGGTCCGTGGAGAGCAGACGTGGCAGGTGCCGGTTCCCCGAGACCAGGCAGGGGCTGCGAGTTTGGGTTGCAGACGGTAACTTCCACCGGCTGCCAAGGCCTCCGTGCGCGCAGCGCGGCCCTCAGCCAGGCAGCGTGCGCCCGAGCCCCGCGCACGGCAGGCGCGCCCACCCCACGAGGCCCAGCCCGGCGGCGGGACGGGAGGGGACGGGACGCTCCTGGCGACGCTCCCAGGGCATCTCCTCGTTTCTGGCATTTCCTTTAGTGACGTGAACGCGAGCCTGTGTCCCGAAGGACCAGACCTGGGCCCCAGGGACGCTCAGCGGGACCTCGCCGTGCCGGAGCTGGGTCCGGAGGGGGAAAGAGAGATCGCTATAGGGGAGCTGTTGAAGGGTTGTTGGGGGGCTGGGCACTACATGTCCCCCCAGCAAGAGTGTCCACAGCAAAGGTGTGACACAAGCACGTAGTCTCCGCCCAAGACCAGCCCACTGACTCCCCAGAACCAGGCCCACCTGCGACTCACCCACAGGGCCTGCGGGAGCTGCCAAGCCGCCTCCTCCCCTCCCCCGGCGGTGTCTGGTCCCTTAGCACACTGTCCCCCGAGCCCAAGCGGAGGCTCAGGGCCAACCTGCCGAGCAGTGCATGCTCTGGGTGTCCACAGCCGGACACCCGGCCCTCCAGAAGGAAGTGACTGGCTTTGGTGACCTTCTTTAAGAACGCAAATGCACAACTATTAGCACAACATTAGGTCTAAAAGTGAATATTAACCCAAACTGCAGACTCACTACCATCTACAGATTTCAGAAGCTAAGTCATGTAAGCAATGTCCAGAAAAATAATAACCATTTTTATGCATTGCTGGCACTGCTGTAACAATTTTGCCCAAATTTTCTGAATTCACAGTCTTTGGTCATGCGTGCGTTTATAAGATAATGATTTTGTAGTATTTTCTTTCTTTTTTTTTTTGAAACAGAGTCTTGCTTTGTTACAGCCCAGCCTAGAGTGAGTGCCGTGGCGTCAGCCTAGCTCACAGCAACCTCACACTCCTGGGCTCAAGCAATCCTCCTGCCTCAGCCTCCTGAGTAGCTGGGACTACAGGCATGCGCCACCATGCCCGGCCTAATTTTCTATATATATTAGTTGGCCAATTAATTTCTTGCTATTTATAATAGAGATGGGGTCTCACTCTTGCTCAGGCTGGTTTCCAACCCCTGACCTCGAGTAATCTCCCGCTCGCTCCTGAGTGCTAGGATTACAGGCGTGAGCCGCCGTGCCTGGCGGATTTTGTAGTATTTTATTTTTTTCTTTTTCTTTTTTTTTCTTTTTTTTAGACAGAGTCTCGCTTTGTTGCCCAGGCTAGAGTGAGTGCCGTGGCATCAGCCTAGCTCACAGCAACCGTCAACTCCTGGGCTCAAGCGATCCCTACTCGCCAGCCTCCTAGCAGCTGGGCCTACAGGCATGTCGCGACCATGCGGGCTAGATTTTTCTATATACTATTTAGTTGGCCAATTAATTTCTTTCTATTTTTAGTAAGACGGGG